GGTTCGAGCCCCGCGTCGGGCTCTGTGCTGACGGCTCGGAGCCTGGAGCCTGTTTCAGATTCTGTGTCCCCCTCTCTCTGACCCTCCCCTGCTTGCATCTGTCTCCCTGTCTCTCAAAAATAAATAAACACTAAAAAGAAACTTAAAAACATGACTCCCTGAGGGCTGAAGCAGGGCGAGGACCCAAGTGTGCTCCCCAGCGATCTTCCTGGGGTGCAGAGGGGGTGGCCCCTTTCTAGGGCACCGTGAAGGGTGGGGAATGGCTCCCTCCTCACTGCCTGCCACAGTACGGTCCCTGTCAGAAGCATTTACTGAGTAATTACTACATGCCAGTTCTCAGCACCGGGGGTCAGCAGGGGACTGCTGTTCTGGGCAGGGGTTGGGGGCAGACAAATAAACAAGATAAAGAAATAAAGCAAATTGCTAGTCAGGTGGCAGTCAGGGTGGCAGGGAAAATCAGAGCAGAGAGAGGGCAGGGTGGGGGGGTTAAAATTATACATGGAATGAGTCAAAAGGTGAGGAAAGCCCTCCCCCCCCACCCCAATGACATTTCTAAAAGATGTGAAAGGAGAGGAGACAGGAGTCATGTGTATATCTGGGGAAGAACATTCTGGGTAGAGAGGAACAGCCTGTGCAAAGGCCCTGGGGCAGGAGCCTGTCCGATGTGTTCCAGGAACAGCAAGGAGGCCAGGAGGAGCAAGGGGAGCCAGCGAGGGGGTTGTCCGGAGAGGAGGTCAGTGTGGTCTGACGTCTCTGACACGCCCTGTGTGTGTCTCTATGCCCAGGAGGCCAGGCTGGTGCTTTCCCAGGGCACCCCCAGGGCCGGGCCCGGTGTCTGGCACGGGCAAAACCACAAGCCCAAGTGACACGAGTGACCAGGGAGTGGAGGCCTGCACACGCGCGCGTCCCTGCGCAAAAAGCTTCCATCAGAAAGTAAAACCTGAAAGCATTCGACAGTAGAAGAACTCGCGTTCAGAGGGCGGGTTACACGGCCGTAAGTGCCCAGGCTGCGCGAGGTCACGATGTGCACGCGCGTGACTGGCGAGGCCCCGGACACCCGCACGCCCCGGGACACACCCCGACGGAAGACGCGCGGCACTGACCTCGGGGGAAACCCCAGCGCGCAGCGATGGGGCGGGGGGTGCCCGGTGCCAAGACGCAGGGCCTCCCAGGGGGCGGGCAGTGACCAGGGCGCCCCAGGGCGCCCCCTCCCGGGGCACGTGCGCTCCCGCAGGTCCGCCGGGGACGTGCCCCCGCCCCGCCCCCGCCCCCCGGACCGCAGTGTCCGCGCGCCTCGCCCCACGGCGGTCTCGGCCCGCGTGACCGCAGTGACGTCACAGGACAGCCCTCCCCCCCCCCCGCGGACCGACGCTGGGGTGAAGCGAGGCCTGAAAACGCACAGGCTGAGCCCCCGTGTCCCCAGGCTCTGGCGGGCGGAACAAAGCTGTGTCGGTTGGGGATGCTTTCAGGTGGCCAAACCAGGGATGAAACAGAGCCAGGGTCCTGGAGACTTGGGGGGCGGGGGGAGGGGCTTGCAGCGCCCCTGGAGGGCTGGCAGCGGTCGCGTCCTTGACCCGGGCGGCGGTCGTCCGGACCCCGGAACCCCGGCTCCGCTCCCTCTCCCCGCGCGCGCGCGCGCGCCACAGGCCACAACTTGGAACCGGTCTGCTCTGGGCGGGGAGGGGCCGCGCGGCGGGGGGCGCTCCGTTTCCGGGGAGCCTTCCCGTCCCAGGTGCCCCGGGCGGCTGACCCACTTTCCCTCCGCGACAGAGGGGCGCGAGCCCACGCAGGGGAGAGGGCTTGCCCAGAGGCCTGCAGCAACCAAGGGGGCCGAGGCAGGGGTGAAGGCAGAGGGACCGTGTGCCCAGGAAAGCAGAGGCGCGGATTAATTCGGGGATTAGCAGCTGCGCTGTGCACATGGCCGGCCGGCCTCGCGAAGAGCCACAAATGTTTGAGTGTCCCTGGAAGAGTCGCTCAAGCGGTCGGAGGCAGGGAGGCTAAGCGAGCGAGGCCAGGGACACGCAGGAAGCCAGATGGGGGGTGGTCAGGCCTGGGGGGGCACGGGGGGGGGGCAGGCCCTGCCGGTGCCGGGGCTGGAAAAATCGGGGCGGGGGTCAGACTCAGGCTCTGCTGAAGGGGGCTCCCGTCTGGAGGGCGCTCCGTCGGCCTGCGTTCCCCACCCCCGCCCGCTTCCGAGGCCCCTGCGGCCTCTGCGCCTCTCGGAAGACCTGCCGGGTTATCCTCCTGGCAAATCCCTATTCATCCTTTGAGATTTTGCTCAGATGTCCCTGCTTCCAGGAAGCCCTCCCTGATATCCCAAGTCAGTGACCCTGGCCTGGGACCCCTGGGAGGACCTGTTGATGGGCCTCTGTCCTTGCCCGCGCGGAGGGCTGCCCCGGGCTCACTCGGTCTCAGCACCCATCGCGGGACGTGGTACCCAGAAAGGGAGCGACTCCGCTGGGCAGTGAGGGGCAAGGGCCGCACACAAGCCACAGAGGACAGGTGACGGGGAGAAGAGTCTGCCACCTTGGACGAGAAGGCGGGTGGAAGGGCATTCTAGGCAGAGGGAACAGCACGGGCAAAGGCAGGCGGGTGCGACTGCTTGTTTGGGCCCCAGAGGGGAGACTTCGACGTGGTGGGTGGTGAGCGGAGGGGCCGGGGCAAGGGGGGCCCTGCTGTGCACCTGCCCCCAAAGTGGGCCGCTGAGGGTCAGAGGGACACTGTCCTCTGGCTCACCCCCACATATATCTTGGGCCCTCCCGCAAGCCAGGCTCGGTTCCAGGCATCCGGGGTGGGGGTGGGGGGTGGTTGGACGGGGCAAAGCGCCTGCCGTCTAGGAGCTCCGTTCAGGTCCCCAGGCCCAGCTTGCAATGCGCAGAAACTGCACCTTAGGGGCGGGGGGGGGGGGGCACAGTGTCCCCTGGACGCCTTCAGTTGGACCACAGATGCATCTTCTCCTGCCTGAGGTTCCCGCCACAGTGGGGACCGGACGCCCCACGGGGAGCCTCCACCTGGCCTGTGGGTCGGGCCTCAGGGGGGGCACATCGTTCTCCCAAGAGTCCTACAAGGTGCAGGTGATTAGGACGTCCGCTTCACAGATGGGAAAACTGAGGCCGGAGACTTGGATCTGTGGGCCCCCAAGCCCCATGACCTACCCCTGCTGACCAGCTTCCCTACATCCCTCTGGGCCCCTCGGTCCTGGATGCCCGGCACCGACTGCAGGGCAGGACCGGACAGGGACAGCCCCTGCACCTGCTGGGAAGGAAGGGTCTGGAAGGGCCCTTGACGCAGCTCTGAGAGCACTAATGGGGTGAGAAGAGGAGGGTAGAACCGTCCCCAGTTCTGGGATGCTGTTGGGTCCTGGCCCCACGGGAACCGCCATTCCCGCAAGCTCCCAAATTCTGCCTCTGCTGAAAGCCCGGGGTGGCCCAGAGCCGCCCAGGAGCCCAGGCCCTGGCGACTGCCGCTGGGCCTTTGGGACTCAGCCCAGGAAAGCCCTCGGCCCCTCTGCCCAAGCCAGGCCTGATGCCCTCAGCATCTCAGGCAGCACTGACCAGGTGGCTCACCTGTGTCCCCAACCAGGCTGGGCCACGTCTCTGCCCCCTCCGCCGGGCGCACAGGGGTGGGTGCTCACGAGCCTTGGCTGGGCATGGAGAGCGAGAGGGAGAGAACCACAGAAGGGACCCCCCCCTCCCCGGAGCTGGTCTTGGGGTGCCCCGGGAAGGCTGCCTTTCTCTCAAGCCCCAGCTGGGTTAAGGAGGAACCCATCCCGGCTGGGGATACCGGTGAGATGACAGCCAGTGTGGGCCCTTGGGCCTCCCCAGCCCAACCTGGACCTTGACTGTGACAAGGCGGGCCTGGCTGACCTTCAGATTTTGGGTCTGCGCGCCTATAACCTGAGAGATTGGGCCCCGCCTCCCAGCCCGGGACAAGCCGGTCCTTGCCCTGTGGGTCTGGGAAGAGACGGCTGCACTCCAGCCCCGCTCGGAGCATCCGGTCCCCGGCCACCTGGGCATTCCCGCCCGCGGCACCAGGGGTCCGCGCGGAAGGCCCCCGGGGCTCTCTGCTCTGGTCCCAGGGGCCTGTTCTGGAACAAGCCTTAGGTCCCCGACCCTCAGGGAACGGGTGTCCCGGCCACATGGAGCGTCCCCGTGGAAGCCGATCCCGGCCTTGGGAGGAGGGGGAGCTGATGGAGGGGAGGGGAGGGGGGGACGTCGAGAGGCCCTCTGCACCCTGGAGATGGGGCCCAGACCTGGCGGCCAGAGCTGGGCCTGCTGCCCGCACGGCGCCTCGGCTCAGACTCCGGAAGGAAAACACAGGAGGGGTGTTCCCAAAGTGGGGGTCAGGGTGGCCAAGGGAAGTCGCGGAGGAAGTCGTGAATATTCAAATCGGCCGATGCCCGCGGCCTGCCCGCCGCGGAGGGAGCCCGCGGGAGTCCACGGAGGCTCAAAGTTTGGCACCTCGAGGGAGGCCGCGGGGTACTCTCCCCAGACTCGCGGGATTCCCCCAAAATGGCTCCAAGACGCGCCCGCCTCGCCCGGCCGGCCGCGAGGACTCCATCCCCGCCCCCGCCCCCACGAGGCGGAAACTTAAAAGCTCAGAACCCGGCAACTGTCAGAGGGGGTGGGGGGACCAGCCGGCGCGGGGACCCGGCGCGACCCGCAGGAGCGGAAACCCGGAGGGTCCCGTGGGGTGGGGTGGGGGTGGGGAGGGGAGGGGACGGTCCGGAGTCCAGGGCGGGGCACGGGTGGGGGGGTTGGGGGCGGCCGCGCAGGCCCTCGCGGCGCGCCCCCTCCCCCCCCAGCTGCGGCGGGCCCGGCCCGGAGGAGGACCCCCCGCGCGGGGCTCCCCATCGTCTCGCCGCACGCACTCACGCACCGCACCCCGGCGCCCCGGCCCCTCCGAGGCGGCCCGGGCGGCGTCCTCCCCCTGCGCCCCCCACCCCGGGCGCCCCCGCCCCGCCCGGGCCCCGCGGCTCGGAGGGCGCCGCACTCACTCACCTGAGTTTCTCCATGTCTGCGGCAGAGGCCTGCGAGAAACCAAACGAGAGGGTCAGCAGGCGGGAGGCGTGCGCTGGGCGGCCGCGCCGGGCGGAGCCGGGCACCGCGGGCACCCGGGCGGGCGCGGCGGCGGGGCGCCCCGCGCGGCTCGGTCGGCGGCAAGCCCGGCCCGCGCGCCCCCTGCTCCGGCCCCCGGTCCCCGGGACTCAGGGGGTGCGTGCCGGGCCGCGGCCGAGTAACAGGTGAGCCCGCCCGGGCCGCCGCGCGCCCCGGCACCGAGTTACGCCCCCCGGGGAGAGAGGAAGGAGAAGGGGCCGGCCCGGGGACTCGGGGTGGCACGGCCCGCGGCGATGCCGCTCTCGCCCGAAGAAGGGGGGCCCCGGCCCGGCCCCGTTAACTCTCCCGCGGCCGCGGCCCCCGCGGCTTACCGTCCCCCCCACCCCACCCCCGCCCCACCCGTTAACCCTTCCAGCCCCGCGCTCCCTCCCGGAGGAAGCCGAGCCCTTAATCGCAGAAATCTCCGAGTCGGAGAATGTTCGAATCCGGGAACTGGGAGCCCTACGGGGTTGCAGAACCCGACACTCACACGATCCGAGGGGGATGGCATTTGGGACCTCAGACTCCTCAGTCAGAGACCCCGCTGCCCTCAGATCCTGGGGTTCCGGGCCTGGCTCGCCCCTCCCGGGCCCGGGGGATTAACCCCCGCGCGCCCGGCTCGCCGGCGGGGCTCCCTGCCGGGCTTGCGCAGACCCGCCCGCGCGCGGCTTGGAGACCCTCCCTGCCTACCCCGCGCCGCCGGGCAGCCCCTCTGCGCGCCGGGCGCGGAGACCCACCCGCTGCCGTTAACCCTGCGGGCGCCGGCGAGCGACGGGGACCGCGAGCGGCCCGGGCGGGATCGCACTTCCTGCGCGGAGCGGGGGGCGCGGGGCGGGCTCTCCGTCGCCCGGAGAGGCCGCTCCCGGGGGCTTTCCCCCGTCTTTCTGTGCCGCGACTGGCACGAAGGGGGGACGGGGGGCTGAGCCCAGGGACCGCGCGACACACCTGGGAAGACTGATGACTGCCCATCCCGGCCCCTCGCTCCGGGCGCCGCCGCCGCGTCCGCCGGGAGCGCGCTCCGCTCCGGTCCGGGCCCCACGCCGCCTCCCCCACCGCCCCGCCGGGCGAGGGCGCAGCCCGGCCGACTGCGCCGAGCGAGGAGGCCCGGCCCGGGGGCCTCGGCCAGGCTCGGCCGCCAGCTCCCCGGGCGCTCCGGCAGGCCCTCCCGGGACTCCGCCGGCCTGTTTCCTCACCTGCGAGCCGGGGTTGGGGGCAGGGGGAGGCGGACGAGGCGCTCTGCTGCCCTTCGGCACCGGCAGGCTGCGGAGGGGCTGGGCGGGGGGAGGAATTTTAGAAGAAAGGATCCGCAAGGGGCCCCGGATTGGCCGCCAGACACAATCCTCACTCGAAAAGTTGTCGGAGACCACGAGCCCAGACCCCCTCGCAATGACCCTCCTCCCCTAAGACGAAGAATTGGCCGATGGGCCAACGGCTCCCCCGAAGCCCCCCATCGACCCCAGGCCCACCTTTCCCAGGTCCCCATCACCGCACTCCGCACACTAGATCCCGGCATACAGCAGGCGCTCAATAAACACGGACCCTGCATGCCTAGATCCTACACCAGTCTTTTCCTGCCTCCTCCCTCTGGCTGCGAGTTCCAGGCAGGCGCCCTGTCCCTTCACCAAGGCACCCCCCCAGCACCCAGCAGGCCTGGCCTCCACAGGGCCCCGCGCAGGGGTGGGAGGAGCCGGGCTTTCTCAGGGTCAGCCCCAACCGCGTTCATACCCAACCCCAAAAGTCCAGACGTTCCTTCGTCCACAACCACAACGCTCTTCCCCACGTTCATTAGCTCTGGGCCAAGTTCTTGCGGTGGGAGGGGGCAGCCAATGAGGTGAGCCCTGCGCTCTGGGGTCTGATGGCTGAGAAACAGGGAGCCCTCCTCTCAGCAGAACCGCAAGGATAATAAAGGCGCCACCACCCCCAGGCCCGCCGCGCCGCCCCCCTTCATGGCGCTGCCCATTTGCTCCTCAGGGTGACGGGGAGGCAGTCACTCCCATTTTACAGACAGGGACAAGCAAAGCCCAGAAATGAACCCAGCCAGGCCTTGAACCTGGCCTTCACAGAGGGCTCCCCCCCAACCCCCCAAAGGCTAGGGACACTCCTCATATGCCTCTAGTTGCCTCAATCACTCACAGTCAATGACCTGTCAGGGAGTCTGTCTTAAATTAATAAGAATGTATTAAAATTTAATTTTAAAAATCCAGCATTAATTATTTATATTGAATGTTTCAGCTCTTCTAAAAGGTCTTGTCTGGGAATTTCCCAAGAAGGGACACTTAGGAGAGGCTGCTGAGTGGCCCCGGTGGTGGGGTGGTGGGGTGGTGGGGTGGGGGGGGGGCAGGCTGGCAGGGAAAGAGAGGAGGGGGCCTAGCCTGGGCAGCCCCTTCCTTCACTCTGCTATTCCAGACCCTGAAGCCTGCCTCTGACCCTTCCACGATGTTTCAAATTCTCCCCAGACCCAGAGCTTGCGCCCTCACCCTTAAAGGTTGCCTCCTCCAGGCAGTCCTCCACGGAGACCCGGAGGAGTTGTTTGGTTGAGGCCTCGATACCAGATGTGTGCTCCCTGGGGCGCAGCCTTTCCCAGCTGTGTCCCAGGGCCAGCCCGGGGTTGGGAGCCTGCACTAAGCTTCGGATGCACATGTGATCAGTGGTCACCGCTGTGTGGGGTTGGGGACTGGGGTGAGCAGCAAGGCTGGCCTGTGGGGAGGGGCTCTGCCTTGGCAACGGTCTTGGTATTGAGGCCAGAAGTCCATGTCCAGGTCTTGACTCCGTAGTTCATAACCACAAGACCTGGGGATTTTCCTGAGATGCCCCTTCTATGGATCAGAAAAGCAAGGCCGGAGCACAAAATGGCTTGTTCAGAGTCGCCCAAAGTAAGCGGAGGCCTGCCTGGGGGGCTGGGGGGAGGAGGCGGGCAGGGATGCTTGGGGACCAGGAGCATGGGGGACTGTGGGACGTCCAGGGTCCCCAGTGTGAAACGATGGGGCAGGAAATATCCTCAGGGCCCCTCGGGCCCCCCCAGGGATCTGCAGGCCAGTGGGGTCCCCCGGCCCTTCTCCAGGTGCTCCCACAGGCGTGGCCCCACGCCTCTTCCTGCAGCAGGCTGTGACCTTGCCATTGCCTGTCCTAAACTCTCCCCTTGTCCCCCATGGTGGTCCAGTCCGGCAGCCGCCTTCGTTTCCCCAGAACATGGCCTGAGCCCTGTTCGTGGGCCGCCCGTCCTTGCCTCAGCCCACCTGCTCTGCGCCCTTGCCTGGGGCTGCTCTGCCCGCCCCCAGCCTGGAACGCCCCTCCTCCCCATCCCGGGCGTACTCCGAGCCCCCTGCACCAGTCTGAGCTTCCGGAGGGGCACCCAGGTCAGAAACGGGCCCCTCCACCCTATTCCAGAAATTAGTCCCATTTACTCCTCAGAGTGGCCGCGCGAGGTGGGCTCACAAACCCCATTTTATTTATTTATTTTTTATTTTTTCAAATATATTTATTTATACTTGAGAGATAGAGACAGTGTAAACGGGGGAGGGGCAGACAGAGAGGGAGACAGAATCCGAAGCAGGCTCGAGGCTCTCAGCCATCAGTGCTGAGCCTGATGCGGGGCTCGAACTCACAAACCGCGAGATCATGACCTGAGCCAGAGTCAGACACTTATAACTGAGCGACCCAGGCGCCCCACAAACCCCATTTTAAATGCAAGAGCGGACGGTCCAGGAGACGAGGCCTTCGGCTTGCCTGTGGTTCCTTCCATGGCCACCACCCTCCCAGTGGCACGGCGCACGGTGACTGGCACACAGTAGGCACTCTCTGGAGGTGAGGGAGAGAGGCAAGTCTGCCTGACCTTCTGACCTCAGCCCCGGAGCCGTCTCTTGCTTGGCACACGCAGACCACACTGACCAGCAAGCTCGCCCAGCCAGCTCCTGCCTCAGGGCCTTTGCATTTCTTTCCTCCACCTGGAAGGCTCCGCCCCAGATCTTGCATGGCCAGTGCCTTCCTTCTCTGACCACCCATCTGAAGTAGGCCTTCGCCCACCAAAGACCCTCTCCTCACACGGGTCTCTGCACGCCTCCTCCCGCCTGCCCGGCCCCACCACCGACGTGCCTACCGCAGGGCCCCTGGGTTTCAGCCACTGTGTCTCTAACCCCAGGGGGGTGGCGCAGAGGGGCCTCTAATGTCAAGCGGTGATGCCCAAACCAGTGTGTTTGCTCCCAATCCCCAGCCACCCCCTGAGCTCCTTCCTGCTCTCCTGCCCCCCTCCCACCCCCCATCATTCATCACCACCTCCAAGCGGGCGGCACCGGAGCCCCAGGGCACTGCTGCACAGAGCCCGGCCGGCCCCGGGCGCCCCTCCGAGGGTGTGGGTCCTCCTGCCCACCCCTCCCCCACCAGCCATGGGGGGCTCCTGCACTGGACCGTCCCCCCCTCCAAATCCTTCTGTTTCCGAAACTACAGAGAGAAGCCAAGGGAGTCCCTGTCTGGGGACAGGCTTGGTGCCGAGGCCCAGGCCTGGGACACAGGGAGCCTGGGTTCTGGGGCCCCAGCTTTGCCTCCGACTCAGCCTGTGACCCTGGGCCAGCCCCCCCGCCCCCCCCGTTGCCTGGGGCTGGGAGGTGGCCCCTCAGACCCTGACCCTAGTGACCCAACCCCGGGGCTTCCTTAAATGCACTCGGGGCTCTGGCTTCCTCTGTCTCCCCTTCCTCCTGCTCCCTGACTTCACCTCCAGGGGGGCACACAAGCTGAAGATTGTGGAGGCCAGAGCATGAGGCTCCGTGCGGGGGGTACGCCCCCCAGGCGTGGCCAAGACAGGGCTCGCCCGTTGAGGACTTGGGCCTCCCATGCCGCTGTGTGACCTCTGCCGAGTCCCTCAACCTCTCTGAGCCCCATCCCTCATCAAGGGAGGATGGACAAATTTCAAAGGACATCGGGAGCGACAAGGTGACCA